CATCCAGATAAAGCCTTCAGATTTTATACTTGTCTTATAATTGAGTTTATGGTTATTAATTTGTAAAAAGAAAAGGTCTTGGATAATGAGTTACACCACAACTAACCTGTTGCCCTTAAAAGGTGTGTGGATTCTCTGGTAATCCCAGGGTTTAGCTTCTAGGCACAGTGTGTGAGAATGTAGATCTGCAGTTTGGAGCTCGTGTGCGGGTACTTGTGCAGGCACTTCCACTTGGTACCTTTTATGCATGCGAAATATGTGTGGTCCTGAACTGAGGTTCTTTTTATTGAATTTATCTTAATACTATATCCACACTACTCAGTTTATCTAGTCTTTTAATCTGATCTGTGGAGACTGTCCTCTGTATCATCGCTACTAAGACTGAATTTTAATATAATAACCAAATTAAAGATGTATGCTGGTCCAAGTGATCTTTTTCCTCCATCATTTTTACTTCAGTTAAAAAATAAATATGATACTGGGTGGTTGCTCTGGACTTTCACAATATATTACACATTTCTGAACACTTTTCCTCTAAACAAGAGTTCATCCTCTTGGTGCCATAAATAGGTGAATGTTCGTTCCAGTCCCGCTCCTCTGAAGCAGTGTAACAATTAGCTGATTTAGAAATCAGGACTATTTCCCGTCCATCATTTTCTGCAAGATTTGTTCCTAAATAGGACAAGTGCATATTTATCCGATTAGCTTAAGGATAAAACAAAGAAAAACTTTCAAAGTCTTGATCGTGAATTGTTTTTTCTTTTTGCTTCAAGTTTTACAAGAAAACAGTGTTTTATGTTCTATCAAAAGGAACAGTTTAAACCTTTTTTTCAAATGACTGAAAACTTTTCCATTTGGTGAGCCAGAGTACATTTTTTCTAACATTTTTTCTAATTATGAGATGATGAAACTTAATACTGTGCAATTATGTAAAAGTGCTTGACTGTCCGCATTTAGATAAGGTCATTGTGCTGGAGATTATTATAATCAGGTTTGTAGGTACATCTGACAGTTCAGAATTGCTGATATTCAGAAAAAGACTTGTTAGGATACAAGTTACAGTTCTTTCAAATGTAGCTCCTTTTAGGTATATACCATTATGAATATTACTGTCTTTCCTCCAAATTTTTATCCCTTCTAATCTGCATAGCACTGTATGTAACTGTATATATTTTTTAGCAATTAGAACGTTTTATTTAGTAACATAAGGCATTAGCTAAGAGAAATTCTATTTCAAGTCAGAAAGATTAATCACTTTGTGGATAGCTAATATAATTCCAGCCTCTGGGAAAGAACCAACATATTTCCCATGAGCTGAACTAGTCATAATATATCTGTGGATTTCTAATTATTGCCAGTTTCTACCCTTCATGATAGAATGAATGAACATGAGTAATGCTTAAAAGTTTTATGTTTCTGACATGAAAAGTAAAACAACTCACTGTAAGAAGTTAAGAATACCTAGAAATACATAATTAAAAAAAACAGAAGATAATTTCTGTATTCTGATATACCTTCTCTGTTTATCTATGTGTATATATATGTGTGTGTATATATATTTTGATTAAAATTGATATACTATACATTGATATTTTTCCTCTGAACAATATACTGCAAATCTCCTTTAGTTCCAGGGGTGTCCAAACTTTGGCATCTCTGGGCCACACTGGAAGAAGAGTTGTCTTGGGCCACACATTAAAATACATTGTGACATGTAATCACAAATAAATTTCATAGTGTTTTAAGTAAATTTATGATTTTGTGTTGGGCCACATTCGTAGCCCTCCTGGACTGAACGTGGCCCACGGGCCATGGGTTGGACACCCCTGAACTATTTGTTCAGTTTCGTACAGGTGCAAGTCAAATAGATATACATGTCCTGTGCCTTCATGGAGCTCAACGGTCTGGTGAAGGAAATATAAAACAAGCAAATAAATTAAAGTATAATTCCAAAATATTAGTTTCATTAAGAAAAACACAGGTTTTCTATAAGGAGAGTAATTTTAGAGGTGGGGACCAACTTTAGTAGAGCCAGAATGCTGACGTTTAAGCAGAGGCTTAAAGGATGGGAAAAAATCAGCCATGCAAAGGTGGGGTTAAAGGCATTCTATGAAGAAGAAATACCAGGTCCAAAAGCCATAACATGGGAAGGATTTGGTGTGTAAAGGGACCTAAGGGAAGGCCAGCTGGCTGGGACAAAGAGAAAGGGGATATTGGCCCTCGATGAAGTTCAAAAGGCAGGTGGGCCCAAATCCTGTAGACGAAAGAAAAAAGATTTTATTCCAAGTACTTTGGGAAGCTATTAAAGACTTTTAGAATGATGAAATTGCATGACTGGGTTTACCTTTTTTAAAAGATTACTCTGGATGTTATATGAGGGTGAATTGGAAAGGGAAGAAGAAGAAGAAGGAGAGATAAGATTTACGAGGCCCTTGATTTGATCATGATAAAGATGGGAGCTTGAATTAAGCTAACAACAGAAACTATGGAGAGAAGTTTCAGAGCTGGAATTGACAATTTCTGAGTTTGTGATGAGCAGGAGTTGAGGAGGGTGACTCCCTTTATGGCCTATAAAATCAAGTAGATAGTGGCATCCTTTACCGACAGGGGTAGACATGGTCAGGAGTGGGTTTGGGGTGGTAGTTGTGGTATAAAATAAATGTTTAAGTTTAGACAGTAATTTAGAGGGGCCTGTAAGACAACCACATGTGTAAGGTAGGAAGACAGTTATATGCATAAATCTCTATTCAGGTGAATCTGAGCTGGTGATATGCATTTAGAAGTCATGGTCATGTAGATGGTATTTAGAGCCCCAGGAACAGATAAAATAACCTAATAGATGGGTGAAGATAGAGACATGAAGAGGGCCTAGAACTGTGCCTTGACAATGAGAGATTGCATGCCTGAGAATCTAAGCAGGGGGGAAAACAGGGAAGTGTGCTGTCAAAAAACAGAAAGGAAGTCTTCAGAAAGGAAAGAATGGGCAGCTGTGTCAAATGCTGCTGAGTGGGCTAGTGCAAGGTGGCCCGAAAAGTGACCACTGGAGATAGCAATGTGAAAGTTACCAGTGAGATCTCAAAAGCAATCAGGGCTATGTGTCAGAAGGCATACTGTAATAGATGTTCATAATTTATAGAAGATTATCTAAAATTTTAATGGCTACATATTAATCTTCACCTGAGATAGTGGAGTATACCCAGCTGCCTGTATTGCTGACAAGCGTCTGTTCCCTAAGAAACAGGCTTGTGAAGTCTTAATGGCTTAGTGGCCCTAGGGAATTGCTGGTTTGCAATTCAATGAGGTTTACCTTGGGGAACTGCACTTTATCTTCTTACCACTGAGTGTGAATTTGGGTTAAAATTTACCTCATGGATTTGGGTGCTGGGGAATATGAATACTGGCTGACTTTCTCTGTGAGAGTATTGTGCATTTGCCAGTTTGATGCTCTTTGCCCAGATCTGGAAACCACTTTACCCTCCAGTAGTAGAAAGGTGGGGAGAGCTCAGGCTCTCTCTGGACCCGACTTGTACTCCTTGACCCTTGGTACTGCTCTTTTGGGGCCTGTGAGCACTGTGGGCCTGTGGTTATTAGGTATATGCCCTTGTTCCTGTTCCCTTAAGATTGGAAACATGGATAAGCTCATGGTGGAATCTTTGCAGGACCCACCTGAATTAGAAGAGAGTCCTAGACAGAAGGTGGATTCTGTAGCTACAGTGACTGAGGTTGGGACCTTCCACTTCAATTCCCCCATCTATAAAATGGGACAAATGATACGTAATGTTTAGGGTTAAGATAAAGATTTAAAGTACTATGTGAAAAGTGCTTAGAATCAAGTAAGTACTCAATAAAGAGTGTCTGTTATTACTATTGTCGTTCAAAATAAATTCTCAGTATTTTGAAAATGTTCAGTTAGTTACATTGGTTATGGTGTGTCTGTATGAACCTGTGCATGATATTTAGCATTGTCCAATGCATAAGCTCTGCACACTAGTTCTTTTTGGGATGATTAGCAATAGCCATAGTAGATTCTTTGTCATCAGTATTTTGTAGCATAGTTTTATTACCAAAATTTATGTAAGCTCATGACCTTCACTTTTTAATGGATTAGCACAGTCCTTTTATTTCTATTAAAAGGATAGCTTTTCCTTGAACTTTAATAACAGTTGGTTCTCTGATAAGATAGCATGCACAATGCTGTACAGAACTGAAGGTTAAAATTCTCTCATTAGAATTCCATGGCAGTAGGAGGGGAAGATGTGAGCCTAATACAAAAAAGAGACGTTAAGTTTTGTATCTGCACTATGTCAGGAGGGGTGCCTGATGGACCTCCTTCTCACTGAAACATGGAGATTTGTTTCTTGGTTTCCACTTCCCCTAAGATGGACAAACTTACTTTTGTGAAGCAAAAGTGCAGTGCACTAACTCCAAAATATGTAAGAACATAGGTCCCACATTGCCTGTCTAGATACCATAAAGATTAAGCCAAAATAAAAACCAAACCAAATGATTGAAGTATATAATACATCATAAGAAAGTTCTTCCCAGGACATGGATCACCACTGTGTTGTGCAGAGGACTGCTTCATTTTGAATACTGTGACCCCTCCAATTGTAAGAATATGTGTTGTTTGGCTTAATTATACACTAGTTTTGGCAAAATATATGTGATAAATTTAAATTTAAGGTAGAAATAATTTCTTTTGATTAGAAAGGGATTTGGTGGTCAGGTGGGGGCAAAAGGAGAAAATACTGCAGCATGTTATACACCTTTTCAGAAGCTGCTTTTCTAGGAATGTGAATGAACTCAGTGCGCATGTTCTGGCTTCCCTAAGGAAGAGGGAATGGTTTGACCTCTAAAAACCTTTCTGAAGGGCTTTATTTTATCAAATTACTTGGATATTTTTGCTTATATTTTCAAGGAACTATGTTAATACTAAGTATAGTACTGTAATGAGTAACCATGCAAAGTTGATTTTCACCTCTCTCTCTGTTTCTCAACAGTTTGGAAGGACTGAAGTAATTGATAATACATTAAATCCGGATTTTGTAAGAAAATTTATTCTGGACTACTTTTTTGAAGAAAAGGAGAACCTTCGTTTTGATTTGTAAGTTCTACTAAAGATTGTATTAAAATTAGTATTTAATGGCAATTTTAATAGCATAAGGTTGAGTCCTATGGTTGCACTGAATACTAGATTATATGGGCAAAAAACTAGATTACCTGTAATTTTATTTAGAGTGTGACCTGAGCCTTGTCTGTAGTACTTCTTCGTGCTTTACTGATTTTTGGCTACCTGTTCATTGATACAGTTAGTGAGCAGTTTGACCATGTAGAAATGCTGGGCAGTATACATGGGCATTCTTTCTAACTGTCCTGTGCCCTGGGAGGTTTCCTGAAAGTTCTGCATGTACTCAAGATGATCTCATAGACTCCATGCCGATGTCCCTCAGACCTTTACGTTTCTCTCAGCCCCTTCTTTGTATAGTACATTTCTGCCTGCTGTGGTGTTTTTATCACTTCATGGCCCCATATTTCTAAGACATAGGATGCCTGATATTTTTAATCTTCTTGTGATTTTGATGCTTAATTAGGCATGTTAAAATATTATTGTTAAAGTCAACTCCCTGTCCACAGAGAATCTGGAGTCAGTCTGCTTATCATCAGTTCCACAGAGGTAAACTGGTGATCGTTGAAGTATCTGGATATTGTTAAAAGGAAATCTACTGAGAGGGAAAAATGTAACATATTATAGTATGTGCTTAATATATTGAAATAATTAAAGAGTGTTTATGAACATTACAAGTATTTAGAAAGGTAAATATCTAGCCCTGGCTGGCTTAGCTCAGTGGATTGAGCGCGGGCTGGGAACCAAAGTGTCCCAGGTTCGATTCCCAGCCAGGGTACATTCCTGGGTTGCAGGCCATAACCCCCAGCAACCGCACATTGATGCCTCTCTCTCTCTCTCTCTCTCTCTCTCCCCCTTCCCTCTCTAAAAATAAATAAATAAAATCTTAAAAAAAAAAGAAAGGTAAATGTCTTATTTTGAATAGCCAAAAATGATAAAATAAACCATGCTGTCACAATTTATAAAGATTTTTAAAATCTTTCCTCCTTATGTAAAAAAAGAAAGGTCTCTACTGTTAGTAGTTTTTCACATTTTCTTCTAAATTGTGTCCAGTAAATAACCTGCAGTGCTTCCTTAAAAAGGACACTTTTATACCAGCCCCTTTCCTTTCAGACTTGTAGGAGTTCTAAGTATTCACTATACTTATCAAATAGAAATTTTAATGTCCCATTTGGTTTTTATTTCCTTGAAACCCTTTTAGAAGGAATAAAAAATGAGGCCCATGAAAAAGTAACTTACAGTGGAATGTAATGATTTCCCAACGATGTTTATCATGAAGACTGCATGTACTGTTGTTATTTAAAAGCAGACACATACGTCAAGTAGGATGTGGGTTGATTCTGCCATCATACTGGGCCTTCATAACACTTTTTAAAATCATTTTTTTTCCTTACACCAGCATGGTAAACCCTGAATTTTCTCCCTCTAGTTTAGACTTAACTTTATCCTAAAACCAGCCACTATTTCATGAGTTTTCATTCTCTCTCTTCATTTTCCATTTCTCTTTTTCCTCTTTTTCCTTCATCTGTATAGTTTTCTCTCATTTAAAAATAATAAATATTTATTATAAACTTTAAGTAATATAGTTATTGAAAAAGTAAAATTTGCTTCTTATCCCAATAACAAATATTGTTTTATTTCTTCCAATAATTGTCCCAACACTGTCAGGTGAAGGGTCTAATTTCATGACTTTCAGTCCCTTTTTGTTTTTTTGTTAAAGCCATCTCACTTGGTTAATCATTAGGGAATCTTCACTTAAAACTTTAATCTCAAACTTAATTCACTTCCAGTCCCCGCAGTTGGAGCTGTTGTCCCAGCTACTTGCCGGAGAGAAGGGAAGTGGAAGAGCAGAAAGGAGGGGTGGGGAGGCAGAGATGTGGGCGTCCTACCTCCTGAAAAATCTAGGTCTTAGAGGGCACCAGCATAAAGGGACTGTGCTTAGCACCCTGCTTGTCTTCCTCACTGTGGAGGAGGGACTTGAAAGGATGTTGTTCCTCGTTCCTCAGCCCTCGGATGGCATTTCCTAGGTCTGTGACCTGACATTCTCTTCTACTGCAAGCTGAAAAATGGACCTGCAGACAGGTTCTATACTGACTGGGGACTAGATGCTACTGCCCCTTCTCACAGGCATCTCAGGTTTTAGAACTCCCTTCACTTGGCTTTGAGGAGTGGAACCTCCTGCCCTCTTGAGAGGTAGGGAATAGGCTGTCACTTTATGAGTAAGCTTCATGGAGAAGGGTCTGCCCCTAATGTTAGTACTCATGGACTCATCTACTGTCATCTCTGAGCTGAGCATGGGCATACTTAGCCTCTTTTGTTTCCAGCTTTAGACCTCAGTTGGAATTTTAGAATATAGGAATAATTCCAGTCAACGTCTGTTGCAATGTAGTAGAAAACACAACCCTTAGGATCCATCCAAATCAGTTACTGCTAATCAGGGATTCTAATAATGATTTCAGTAGCAAGATGAAGTTGTTTATAAAATTCCCCTTAGTAAAATTAGGTACACTGGGGCGCACTCTCCTCAGGGTAAAATAATGAACTTCCTGCTTTGCAATGTATTCTCTTTTCCTTAAGGAAAGTATGACACTCATAAACTTGGACACACACACATGCGCACACACATTATAACCATTAGGATGTAGTATTTACGTTCTCACCCATGAGGGTGAGGAGCAGAGTTAGTCTTTTGAAGAGTTAGAAGGAGCCCTGGCTGGTGTGGCTCAGTGGATGGAGCGCTGGCCTGGGAATGAAAGGTTGCCAGTTTGATCCAGTCAGGGCACATGCCTGGGTGGCGGACCAGGTCCCCAGTAGGGAGCAAGTGAGAGGCAACCACACATTGATGTTTCTCTCCTTCTTTCTCCTTCCTTTCCCCTCTGTCTAAAAATAAATAAATAAAATCTTTTTAAAAAGTTAGAAGGAAAATTCCATTGATAGTAAAATCACAGTCATTTTGAATGCATTATAATTCAACATACTACCTTTAGAGGAATGCTGTAAATTACCTATTTTTGAGATAATAGTTTTTAAGAAAACTTCGTTAAAAACAATGAATGAGGGTTGTATTTGAAAACAATCATTTGTGATTAAAACATAACTTCTTTTCTTTTTGCTTCTTTTCACTGAGCATACCATGTAATTTCTCCCTAGCCACTAAACCTTTTATAGAAAACAGTTTCCAGAACCAATTCTTGGGAAGGAGCCAGTGCAGTTATGTTTCACCTTTGATATTGCTACAGTTGCTAATTTCAGCCTTATCCTAGAAAAAGAAATACAAAAGTCTTGAATAAGGAAAATTATTGAATAAGAATTATTTTTTGTTTACTGATATCCGTAATTCTTTAATAGATGTTGGCCATTAGCTGGTTTAGAATTCTAGCTTACAGCTCTTGAAAGTATTCAGCACTCCCTGGTGTGAAGCAGAGTAATGCCTCTAAGGCAGGTGTTTGCATCACACAGTTTTAAAGCCAATAACGTGCTCAGCATTCTTTGCCAGGGAATGAGTGCCCCTCTGCCCAGCATCAGCACACTCCGTGAACTCTGATTCTTCGCCTTTTATTGATTGAGATGCTTTGTTTCTTTATAAAAACATTCTTGTTATGTGAGAGGGAAGATTTTAATTAACCTTTGAAAAAAAGCAGTTAATTTTCACTGGGACTCTATGCACAAGGGATGTGCAAGGAATCCAACTTCGAAGAAAGACTGGAGGCAGTACAAATATTTTCCTGTTCAAGAATTCAGCACGTTCTGGTTGTTTTGACTGTTAGTGATCTTACCATTTCTACAAATTCTTTAAAAAGAAGGGCTAAGGTGATAGTGAGTGGTATTTTTCCAGGATCTCATCAAGAAATCATTTTGAGTACCACCTAGTCTAGAACAGGATATATAATAGTCTTATATAAATATAGTTTTCTAACGGTAAGGTACACGTTTCCCCCAAGTTCTGTGATTGAAGAAAAATAATATTACGTTAGCCAAATTTCCAAGTTTTAACAACAGCATTTAACATATTAAGTAAGAATTATAATATAAACAAATGACAGCCCTTTCCTAGTTACCAGCCCCTCTGTTTCTTTTTCAGTGGTATCCAGGGAAGAGGAATTGCAGTTTTTAGGGCATTTTAAATATTTTTAGACTGCTAGTTGCTTCATAAGACAGATAAATTTTAAACTTGTATTATTAAGCAGCAGAATTGATGACTAAAACGTGGGGATTTCTATTTAGGTTGTAGAAATAAAAGTTTTTCTCTCCATTGCTATAATTTTGATTCATTTTTATGTTATTTATGTTTTTTAGAAAATACTGATATTTTTCTCTAGCTGTATCTTATGGAAATAATTTGAGTTTTATGTTTTAATCTTTTAGGTACGATGTGGACTCAAAGAGCCCCAACTTGTCCAAACATGTAAGTTCATGTTTTATGTTTTTTTATGATGATCGTATAATAAAAGTTATAATGTCTTCATTTATGATTGATATTTATGTTGATTTATTCATAGAAAATGTACATGTCCATGACATTCATGTAATAATAGTCATATTTCAATATGTGAATGCATTAGTCTTATTTATTTATTTTTTGTGAAGAAGCGATGTCCGTTCTCTGGATCAGGTTAAGAATGGGCAGATAGTGAGCTGGTGTCTTTTTGGGAGGCTTCACTCAGAGAGAATGGGCGTACATACTTGAGTGCAGGCAGAATGACTTACTGTTCCACTGTCCTTGTAATTCATTTGTTCAACAATATTTTCTAATTACCTCTTCATACCAGGCCCCATGCCAGTTTCTGAGGGTATGGTGTGAACAAAACAGACATACAGTCTCTCCTAGAGTCACTTACAGTCTCTTCTGTTCTTTTGGAGCCCTGGTTTTCCCGCTCCTCTGTTGTAAAGAGCTCTACTCAATGGGCAACAGCCATTACTTGGGGAGTGATACGGACTCTGGCCAGCGGGGTCTGCTTTGTTGTGGCTGCAATGAACAAATTCACATGGACTACAGAAGTCCTGTGGAGAAAAAGGGACGGCATGGCTGATCTCTAAGTGAGAGAGGGCCCTGAATCCTGCCTGGACAGGCTTTTGTTGCTATTTTGGGCACATTACATCAAGGATGGTCCTCATTTACCATGCACAGGTTTGCTTTAGGTGATTACCTTTCACAAACAAAGGAAAGAATGTTGCTAATTACATCAAAGAAAAGGATGTTGCAGATGCAAGGGGAAAACTGGTTGAACTGGTTACACACCTACTTGGGAGGTTTAGCATAGATTTTAGGAAATTACCTTAAAGGTATGCAGTAAACATTTGCTGCTTGAATTCAGTGTGAGGGAGTTTTAGCAAAAAGCAAGCCTCAAAGCAGCCTAGGTACAATGCAGGCCTGATTCCCCATGGGAAAATCAATCCGTGGGCTCAGCTTCTGTGTGCTGACTGGCTCCCCGCCAGTTTTCCAAATCAGGGCCTAGGTTATATTCGCCACTGCCATACAGATAGGTTCCCAATAGGGGAATTTACAGGTTCAGGAGCAGCAGGGCGGTAGAAAGAGGCAGATATAAAGAGGTGGAGGTAGGAAGAGAGGGATGGGTGTGGGGTTCTTTGGCTAGGCATTCGTGGTCCTGATCAGCCTATTTATTGACCTGTGGGATTGGAATTAGGCCAGATTTAGAAGGAAGGACTGAAAGGGGTTTAACTAGGAGCCACGTGAAATCTGAATACAGAGATGGGGAATTGGCAGCTGTACCAGGGTTGAGAAGCCAGTGGGACTAATGTCAGGAGGTTGGGATTTTCTACTTTTCTTTTTTTTTTAAAGATTTTATTTTTATTTATTTTTAGAGTGTGAGGGGAGGGAGATAGAGAGAGAGAGAGAAACATCAATGTGCGGTTGCTGGCGGTCATGGCCTGCAACCCAGGCATGTACCCTGGCTGGGAATCGAACCTGCGACACTTTGGTTCATAGCCCGCGCAATCCACTGAGCTACGCCAGCCAGGGCAGATTTTCTACTTTCCTATTGTCAGAGGTTATTAACTGTAATGGATATATATATATATATATATATATATATATATATATATATATATATATACACACACACACACACACACACACACACACACACACACATACATATATATGATTACATATGATATATGATACATGATTTCTAGTGCAGTTTGGAGAAAGGGAATGTTTTAATTTGGAGAAGAGAGAAGGGACATAAGCTCAGAGACTTATATGGAGAAACTAGAAGCCTGGGTATGGTTGTAAAAAATATAATTTCTGCTGCTTTCTTTCACTAAAGGAATATTTTTGATATTTATTTTTGTTATGAAGCATTTGAAGAGAGATTCAGAGATGCTGTAATAAGCTCATGCCTGTCTATAAGTAAAGTTCAGTGCAGTTGCCACATCACCTTCCTCCTGCTTATGATAACAGTCATAGCACTGTGGCTGGACATACACAATTTCCATACCTTTGTACTGGAAGGATTGAAAAAGGATCCATGTTTTTTAGTCAGAATTACTTAGTTTCTAGGAAAGAAAATGCATTCACTTATCTCACACATAGGTGGTTTATGCAAGGGATCATGTGATATGTAACCTGCCTTTATGGGAACAGCAGCAGAAACAGGTGCAGTGGGTTAGACTGAGTTTCTCTCTCGCTGTTTCAGGCCACATGTTCTTTGCACTATGATTTTTCCCTGGACTTCTCTTTCTCAATGAAGATCATATTTCTCTGTTTATTACTGTTCATAAATGGAAAATGACCTCTCTAACCCTGACTGGACATAGACTTTCAAGGGTCCTCTCTCCCTGAATGTAATTTCTTCATTTCTCCTTCAAACTAGTCTTTAGTGGGCATGATAGCTGGGCAGTTAAGGACGTTCCCACAGGGTTGGGTATTTCGAGGGTGAGTGTGAAGGTAGTAACATGTGGTCCTTACCAGTGTAGTTGCCTTGAGTTCGGGCAGAGAGTAGTAGTGTGGTAAGAGGGTGCCTCAAACCTAATTAACTCCATTTTCCTTCAATAATCTTTAATGACTAAATATTATTATGCAAGAGATGTCTTTTTTAAAACAGTTGACTCATTCTTTATTCTTTAAAAATTTGGTTTTTAATTATAGTTGGCATATAATATATTAGTTTTAGGTATATGACGTAGTGGTTAGACATTTATATACCTCATGAAGTGATCACCCTGATAAATCTAGTGCTGTCTGACACCACACATAATTATTATAGTATTATTGACTATATTCCCTATGCTGTGCTTTACATCCTTGTGATTATTTTTATAACTGGCAATTTGTATTTCTTTTTTTATTTTTATTGAATTTATTGGGGTGACACTGGTTAACAAAATTCTACAGGTTTCAGGTGTACAATTTCACAACATACATCTGTACACCGTACTGTGTGTTCACCCAAGTTTCTTTGCATCACCATTTATCCCCCTTATACTCTCGTCTACTTCTCCCGAAGCCCCTCCTCCCATCAATCACCACATTGTTGTCCATGTCCATGAGATTTTTTCGTTTTTGTTCAGTCCCTCCACTGTCCCCACCTATCCTGCTAATCCTGCCCTCTCCCCATCCCAACTCCCCAAATCTCAGTCTACCCTCTGTGTACCCTCAGTCTATTCTCTGTGTCTAGGAGTTGGTTTCTATGTTGTTTGTTAATTTATGTTGTGTTTTAGACTCCACATGTAAGTGATATCATAGTGTATTTGTCTTTCTCGGACTTATTTCAGTAATTACAAGGTCAACTAGATTCAACTATATTGTTGGAAATGAGAAGATTTTGTTCATTTTTATAGCTAAGTAATCTTATATATGTACCACAACTTCTTTGTTTATTCATTTAATAATGGACACTGAGGCTGCTTTCATATCTTTACTGTAAATAATGTTGCAGTGAACATAGGGGTGCTAATATACTTTCAAAATCATATTTTGGATTTCTTTGTATAAATACCCAGAAGTAGAATTGTGGGTCATACTGTAATTGTTTTTTTAAATTTTGTAAAAGGCGTCCATACTGTTTTCTATAGTGGCTGCACCAACTTACAATTCCACACCAACAGTGTACAGCAATTCCCTTTTCTCTGCCTCCTCACCTACACTTGTTGTTTGTTGATTTACTGAAGGTAGCCATTCTGACAAGTGTGATCTGGTATTTCATTGTTGTTTTGATTTGCATTTCTCTAAGGATTAGTGATCTTGAGTATCTTTTCATATGTCTGTTGGCCATCTATATGTCTTCCTGGGAGGAATGTTTATTCAGGTCCTGTTCCCATTTTTTAAATTAGATTGTGTTTCTTTTTTTTTTTTTGGTGTTAAGTTGCATGAGCTCCTATATATTTCAGAAATTAACTCCTTATCAGATGTACCATTGGGGAATATCTCCTCCCATTCATTAGATTGTGTTTTCTTTTTTTGTTGTTGTTGACGGTGAGATATGTTTTGTAGAAGTCATGTATGTAAATATCTTTCCAAATATATACTTTTTTTGTAAAATAGCTTTTTTCCCCAAAAGAAAAGTTTTATGTCTTCCTCATGGTAGAAATTCTTACCTTGAATCTGCTTTATCCTCATGATATCCCTTTTACTAACTTCTGATTTAGCTTACTTCTTTAGAGAACAGCCTGGGTTTCTATCATAACTTCCTTTTTTTTCCTTCTAATCCTTGCCTGATGACATTGCTTTTAGACAGAGAAAGAGGAAGGGAGAGAACATTGAAGCAGGAGAGAAGCATCCATTGGTTGCCTCCCTTATGCTCCTGGACCGGGCATTGGGAATCATACCCACAACCTAGGCTTGTGCCCTGACCTGGAATCAAACCTGAAACTTTTCAATTATGGGACAATGCTCCAGCCAGCTGAGCCACACCCGCTCATAACTTACTTTTCACTCTCTCTTCAGCTTACTCTATTGTATTCTGGTTTTCATTTCTGCTTAAACTATTCTGACATAGGTTAAATCAAAGTCTAGTGGCCTCTATTCATTCTTTACATTACTTGACCTCCCTTTTATTTGAAATACTCTTCTGACTTCTATGGAAACTTTTCCTTTGCTTCTTTTCCTAAATCTTTGTTTGTTCATTATCTATCATGTTTTAGTTTCTCTTTATTCTCTTTTCCTTTACTATTAGTGTTTTTCATGACTTTATTTTCAGTTTTCTTCTCATCCTACGGTATAAGCTCTTCTTGGGAGATTGCAACCATTTCCATGCCCTACCCTGAGGACTCCCAAGTGCCTATCCCTCTGAAACCTCAGGAAAGCCAAGTCCCAATTGCTTGTTAGATAGTGCCTGGTAGATTTTCTGCAGAAGATGTGTGTGTGTGTGTGTGTGTGTGTGTGTGTGTGTGTGTGTGTTTGTGTATCAGGTTAGTTAAATGGAAAAGGTTCCATTATCTCCA